AAAAAAGGAGATAACTCTGAGCGAACCATTTACATAGGCGCTACAAATCGAAAATTTCGTAGTTACTCACTCAAACAGAGGTACACACCAAAAATGGGTATGCCCAAAACTGGGTAATTCATATGGAATCACAATTGATCACATCACTTCGTCTGCATCTTGCAAAACAAAATCCCATATCAGGTACAGAATTTGAACTCAGGCGGTTTCCTGAAGCTTGTGTGAAGCTCTTTGCCCCTTTTTCGCCACTGTCGACTCAACAGATCAAAAGAACAGGTTTCAAAGTAGAAAAGATGCCAGAAGGACGACGAGCGCGACGAACAATGAGTAATGTGATGAACTCATTGCAAATAGATTCTCAGAACAATCCAATTTGTGAAGTGGAACTTCCACCAGACGAGCACCGACATAATTTCGAGGGCTGGCTCGATCGCATACCAGACTGTGCTTATCTCGGATCTGAAATATATGAAATATGTCAATGATATTAGTTAGATACATCATCGTATTGACCGTGGAACATCAGACAAATCGGCACCAAAGAATCAAAAACAGAGCACTGAATATGGTAAATTCACAGGTCGCGGTCCCTAATTTCCAGAATTCAACGCGCGACATATTGTTATAAATGTTCTAGATCTTTCAGTGTCACTATTAGATAGTAGAAATAAGACAGCTACAAAATTTGAGCAAAAAATCAAATACCAGTGGCGGCCTAGTGGGCGACAGAAATTTTGACCAGATAAAAGAGCACGGCCTTAGTAAGCCTACCAAAAACTTTTGGAAGTTTAGGTGTTTTGATTTGTTTTTGTGGCATTTAGTATATCCTCCTTTAAGAACATTAGGTCACCAGGGAGGAGCGTGGATTTAGCTATTTTTAGTTTACATTGTGCCGGTTTGCGATCAAATCTGATTACATCACAGACCTTTGAGAGTAAGCGTGGCATACACCACTCCACTTTGATTATATCATTCGCATCTCTTAATGATTAAGAAATCATGAGTTGAAAATTACCTGGTGCAAAAGTTATGCCGCATCATTCTTTTAAATTCACTACATTTTGCTTTCCTCACGGATTTCCACAAACTGAATTTCGCTAGATAAAAGAGTTCAGCTTGCGCAAATCACAGCAAAAACTTATGATTTCCATAGCTCGACAGACTGCACCAATCTGACAGTGTTTTCAATGATGATCAATAGAACATTACGGTAAACATTCGAAAGATTCGCAGCTTCTTCTCGGGAAGGGAATAAATTGCGAAATTAGTGATTTACAAGTTATATAAAAGTAGGCAAACTTGTTTTATCAATCCGCATGGACAGCACGATAACTTTCAAATATCTCACTTGCCTAAAATGTTTTAAAATCCCCCTAATGGTAAGCATTCTCGGAAAAGGAGAAGGGTCAAGCAAGCCCGGGAAAGTTCCTTTACATGATATTTATACATTCCAAACCTTGCATCAAGGATAGATGGACTTTTAGCTCGGGCCATTTCCAAGGATACCGTGACATAGTCTCGGGATGTGATTTGAATAAAAAATCCAGGTTATTCCGCAGATTAACTGCCAAAACATAGGATACTCACAACGTCTGTAGATCTGACCCAAGTGATGTAGTCATTCGATTTACAGTCACAGTGGAAAGGATTTCGTAGCACATAGGTATCT